GTCTCTTGACCATCTTGCGCGGCACATCCAAGTTGATCATCAAGAAAACGATCTGATAAAGATTTCTGAGAGGTCTTCATCCCACGTGTTGACCTTTTGAATGACCCTCACCTCATGACCAAATTACAAGCGTTGATTCCATATAATGTCGAACATGTCGAGGGGTCGAGAATACACGAGAGGTCTATTTCAGTAGCTGACCGTTTTCTGTAGCCCGTCCCCTTCCACCATGAGACCGTCCATTGGTCAGTTGTAGTGTTCTGCAAGGTTCCGAGTCATGTAGCAGAGTGATTTAAAAAATGGAAAATCTGGAGCCTTGAAGACGCATGCAGAATTCATTCAGTCAATGTCGAAGCTGAACTTCCAGAATCACACACACTTGGTGCCCAGATCGAGTGTGTGTGATCAAAATCGGGACATTGGAATAATGGATAGTGAAATATTTGGAAAGTGTTGAACTTCTTCTACTCTTAAGGAGAAGAGAAGAGTAGAGAAACTCTCAGGTCCGCAAGTCTCCAGCAAATCAAGCACTGAAAAACTTGTCACGCACCCCAATGAGGCTGTCCCTCACAAGGCACGCTGACACCTGTCAACACTTTCACTTTCAACACCTGGCAACGCAGAATACACCCCACGCCAGTTCACAACCAAGAGACAAAGACATCATACTAGCACCAACTCTCAAAGAGCCAAGCGCTTATAGTGCAACATGAGCATAACGTGAGATAGATATCTAAATTCAGGTGTTTTGCAGCCCATTGAAAATAAATTGATCGTCTTGTGTACACCGTCATCTAAAATTTAGATTCTGCCGTGCAACATCATTATACAAGCTGTAGTTAAATAATACATGCATAATCAACATCAAGATTTGAAACATCGCAGATCCATGCCTTTGTGCGCTGGAAACGTTATCCATCTTCAGACATGAGAAAAGTGTGACATGTGGTTGTAACTCAAAGCTCCTGGGAATCTGATTCTAGTTGACGAATTGTTGGGTCTAAAAGTAGATTTGTGCACAGATTAGTTTCTCAAGGCATTTGATTGAGTATTTAAATTCAAACTGTTCTACCGTCGGGGCACACAACCACCATAGCAGTTTCTACGTCCATCTATTCCAACGCACCTTGCACAGCGAACTTTAGTGCTAGCACGTAGCGGTCTTCTCCCCACTTCCTAGAGACAAAATAAGAATTCCAAGTATGTTGAGAGTTTCTTGTTTCTTAATTCATGCCATATTAGGTTTGAGTCTTTGAGCAAAGACTCAAGCCTAATATGGCAAGATCAGCGCGACGTCTTTGAGCAAAGACCTCGCGCTGATCTTGAGTAGAGTGGTCCATGGAGTACTGTAATTTGTAATTTCTGTACATGAAGATTATGACTTCAGATTTGGAGAGAACTTCAACTTGACGATAGAATTGTATGAAGTCAGATCTTGCTGGGTGATGTGGATGATCTTGCTTGCTGAAAGGTTGCAATCAATGAAGCTGCACTTGGGTCCTAATACGGTCAAAACACGACTACAATAAACTTTCACGTGTGTGCAACAAGCCACGGTCTCACGGACGGGTCCAGCACTAAAGGCCAAAGGTCATTCACTCCCTCCATGAATTCAGGCTTTCTCACCACAATCTCGAAACATCATTTGTGCATCTCATGAATGAAGTACTAAAACAGCACGAAGACTTCTCCGATTGTCAATTGACTGTCTGTCCGTTCTACCTTAATCTCATTTCGATCTAAACTGAAAGTTCTACAGTGTGCAAACTTCACAGTACACATACACGTGCCTGTTGGATAAGCACGGCGTCGTTGACATGCTAAATATCTGGAGGAGGATGTGTGCAGATAGATGTTGAGGTTCAACTGTTCTCGATCTAAGCAGCCCAAAAGATCAGACTCAGTGAGGACTACTAAGTACACACTGAGTACTTAATGAGGCTATTAATGCTTCATGAGTTTCCGCATTCTGCTCTCTTGTTCTGGCAATCATAAACCTACTTCTATTTACTTCATCCATAATCCAAATATATCGTGTGAGGATCGGGGAGGATGAGTACTATTTATCCTCGGATTGGTCAACGTTAGATCCTTGTGTGCGGCGGGAATAAAGAAGCTTGTTGATAGAGGATGAAAATGGTCCAACTATGCTTGAATTCCTGCTGCATGCAATCCCAGATTTTGAAAACACCATGTAACTGACTAGATTGTCAAACAAATATCACGAAATCCAACGCACATGCTTGAATATGCACTTTTCGCTTTCAAAACTCCTCAGCCGGCACAGTACTTCGTCAATCCGAATATCTCACCGTCCATGTAGATGTCACGATGATCTTCTTTTCAAAAATTTCATTGATCTTTTTTCTCGCCAAATTGAAGTGACGAGGAAGAAGGGTCAGACGAATGCTATATGTGGATCATATACAGTGTTGGCTGTGACTGTAAAGGCGAATGGTCTCGATGAATGTTAACAGAGAAGATTCTCGATCAACTCACTTTTGGTCACATATACGTTTTATTTTCATATCTCGAATATAATCTGAGAGAGGCCATAGTTGGTGCAGTGGTTGAACAACCACTGGCATAGATGAGAGCATCATCATGCTCGTGTTGATTTCTGCAACCATGGTAATTTCCTGCGTTTTTGTGCCAGCCGCCAGTGTAGATCTTACTCGATCGTTAGAATGTCAGAACAATCTTAGCTGCGCACGTGATGCTTCAAGTTCAGACGGAGAGTTGGCTATTACGCTGGTCGAAAGGATTGGAAAGAATAATTCTGGTCTATGCCATTTAAAGGAACAAAACGGCTGGAGATGTATCATGAGGATGTACAGACTAGAAATACGTCCAACATTTGTCGCACTTCATTAAGAACGAGCTTTTAGCTTCAGATCACCCGCCGTATCGAGAAGGACTGTGCATGTGGAAGAAGGTAGGTCCTACTAGCTCGATGTAATACTTGAGTCTCGATCATACCCAGACTCATCCCCTCGTCTACAACGTGCTGCATGAAAACCTACCAATTTCGCAGGACTGAAGATCTTGTTGACTGAACTATACTAAAAACGTCCTATAGAGAGGAAAGTACTCCTTGGGATTCAAAGCAAGTGCCATTGGTACAACTCGTTTCCATTTTACAAGAAATGTCCACTGATAGCAAATTCTACCTCGAGAGAATCTAAAGCATACCTCCTAAATTCTGGCAAATGCGAGGTCTGCCAGAATTTGTTCTACTTAATTCTGACATTTTTGGCATTGACATTGTGATTCACTACTTTTTCGTTGGATGGTTTAGCGAAAATCGTTTTGAGTGTTTCGAATCGTTTTGCATGCATCATGCTCGAGAAAAAAAGTCTCATGAGGTGTGAGATTCATCTTTCTTTGATTTTATGATAGAAAAGTTGTTTTCAACTAAAAGACTCACAGTGATCAAAACAAACATATTACAAAAATGGTATGAAAAATATTATCAAATGTACCCGGTACTTTTTAATCTAGTCAAGAAAAGACTCACAATGATTAAAATAAACATGCTATAGAATTGAATTGCAAGTAACAAATGAAAAAAAAATATTAAATGTACTTTGGCGCTTTTGTTTCATCCAAAAAAAAACTCACATTGATCAAAACAAACAAACTTACAATATTTTTATGGAAGTGGAACAAAATATAAAATGTAAACTCCTTTCCATTTCATGCACAAATTACTCTTCACCGCTGAATTCGTAGTACGAAAAATTTGGTCATCTATTAGCAAATTTGGTAAACTTAGAAGGTTTGTGATCCACAAGTCATCAACAAATTCAAGTTCATGCACTCACGGATTGTCTCCTGAGCATCCATTTCTACCCTGACTTCCTCGAAGTTTTTCGAGCGGGAGTTAAGTTTGAAGTTGTTTATGATGTATAGATTTTGGCCAGATTAATTTTTGCAGATTGATCAGATAACTTTTTGTATATTTGGCATCCAAAACTAGAACGCCAGAAGTAGGTGAATGATTTGAAGTCAATTATGCATTTAGGGTTAAATGTGTGAAATTAATTTGGAAATAAATTAATTTTTTATCTAGAAAAGCACACATCTAAATGCTATGAATTCAAAGGACAGATTCGATCACTGAACACACAATCATCGAACGGATGCAACTCATAACATCTTTTGCTCATTTATACTTAATATTAGTAATGAATGATTGCATCTTCTTATGATGACTGTGAATCTAGCGTTTATACCTTGAGTACTAGTGCAACTCTAAATTTACTGAAGTTCGTAGTATACTTGCTGGGTGAATTCATCACTATGCCGTTGAGTCTAACCAGAAGAAATTAAATGTCGTTGGCTTTTATAGCTCCTGATATATTCACACTAATTTGACGTGTCTATCTAATTTATTCATTTATATCTAGATAAAAATTATTAAGGTAACACTTTTGATATAAGTGCTTTGGAATCTCCTTTGGCACTTCTCTTGAAAAAATCACGATGACTCTCCTTATCAATTGGATCTTGGTGTCACATATTAAAAACATTACTCTTAACTATTTTGGCCTTTGTGACTCGTGTAGGGTACGTTCAGTTTTTGAAATTAATGGTCTGAATATGCCAATTCGTAGCCTTTCATCATGCAACAATTTCAGTATATCTTCAATTTCATTTATAGTTTTTTCAGTGGGCTGCACGACCGTAGACGGATCCTCTCCAGTAAAATGAATCCCATCAAGTAAGTTTCTCTCTAGTTTCCAAAGAAACCTTCGTAATTGCCTTCTTGAAAAGCTGGTGGGATTTGAGTACTTCGTTTATCATTTCTTAGACATGGACATTGCGAAGTATTAACCCCAAAAAAAATGGCGTTGCTATGACAGGGTATATTACATTGTCTGAAATAGTCGCTTGAAATATCGCTAATTCACACACCTACTTGAAACAAAGTTCTAGTTCATATTCATCATATCTTGAACAGTACGGAACATAGTTCGTGACTTCATCATACAAAGTGCCTTCTAATTAATTGGAGATTGTATACAAAACCACCGAATGTTTTTGGTCAGGAGAGTACCCTTCAACGCTTTTTTTATCCTAAAAGTTTGTGTAGAGAACTTACAGAGCATGTAAAGGGTGCTTCTTTCTATGATCCCTATTGGTAGACTTTTGATCGAGACAACTGTACATCTTTGGTGCAGCCCATCGAGACGCTATTGGGGCTAGCACACATTCTTACCCTCGTGGTTTCTCATGGTTTCTTACCCTCATCAAGTCCCACACCTCGAGTGTGGGACTTGATGTGGTCTCGTCATCCTTTTCACTTCAGCATTGCCTTTACAGGATCTCCTAAAGGGCTTACTCATGAACCTGGACTCGTGCTGTGGACATCAGGACATAATATACTCTGGTGTGGATCCGAAGCAACAAATGACAAGTAATGAGGTTGCGGTTTCGACGAAGGAACCAGAGGCAGTGCCACCCTACCCCCCAAGATCTCGACCACCTCTCTCATCGTCGGCCGACTGCCGGCGTTCGGGTGAGAGCACAAGAGGCCCAAAAGAAAAAGCAATTTCATCTCTTTTGCATCGAACTCCTCGCCCAGTCTCGGATCTACGACATCAAACAGGCGTTCCCGATCCAGTTTCTCCCAGACCCAATCCACAAGGAAAATCTGCTCGACCGGCTCCTGATGAAGGTAGGCCGGTCTTCCACAAGCAATCTCCAAAGCCACGGCCCCGAAGGCGTACACATCCGTCTTGTCGGTGAATTTCCCCGAGCCTGCTACCTCGGGGGCTATGTAACCGATGGTCCCGGCAATCTGAGTGGTGGCAGGATACTGAGAATGATCCGCCATCCGAGCCAATCCAAAGTCCCCCAGCATGGCGTTGAAGTCCTGATCCAGCATGATATTGCTGGACTTGAAGTCCCGATGAATCACCTGCTGCCGCGAGCCCTCGTGCAGGTAATATAGAGCGTCTGCAGAACCGGAGATGATTTTGAACCTGAGCTTCCACGGCAAAACTGATTCTGGACTCGCCGGGTGGAAAAGAGCCTTGTCCAGACTTCCGTTGGGCATGAGCTCGTACACCAACAGGAGGTTGTCCCGGTCGTTACACCATCCCAGCAGCTTGACGATGTTCCGGTGGCGGATCTGGCTGATAATCGACACCTCGGCCATAAACCCCTTGAGACCCTGATTCGAGTCCGGATTCAATCTCTTCACGGCCACGAGCTGTCCCCTATCCGGCATTCGGCCACGGTACACAGCACCGGATGCTCCTTGACCGAGCTTGGATTCCTCCCCGAATTGATTGGTGGCTATGCAGAGATGTTGGAAGCTAAACTCTAGGCTGAACCCCAAGTCCATCCCATCCAGACTGAAAGCTAGCCTATCCCCACCTTCAGGACGATTCGCTTTCTTCTGTCGAAGGACCTGTCCAACTTCAGGACGATTCGATTTCTTCTGTCGAATAACCAGTCCAACGATGACCAGGATTGAGAAGAACAACACGACACCCAGTGAGACTCCAGCGATCAAAGCAACCTGTACTTTGCCTCCGCCGCCTGGTTCCGGAGGCAAAGCTGGAAGAATGGTAGGCGATACTTGAACTATGGCTTCAGGGTCAAAAACATATGAAAAAGTCCAGTCATGGACTGTGTAGAAATTGAAACATGGACAGATTCCGTTGGCTGCTGAAAACCCGACATACACTAGCTCGTCTGGATTGAAGACGTCGAACAGATTTAGTGCGTAGACAATGAAAGGTAGAGACGGCTTAGCGTTGTTACTGCTGATTCTCACCTCCAGGTTTTGAGCCGATGAGTTGTAATCTATCCACGAGTATATGCTATAATTTCCGGCAAGATCTAACCTGACGTCCCAGGCGCTTCTTGCTAATGTTGAATTGACATCTTGTACGTCCACTCCCACATGATTGTTGTTTTCGTCCCCGACAACCGAATTTTCAAACGTGTCAAACTCGATTGCCAGTGCCCTGGCGCTCTGATGTCCGAGTGGATCGAAGACACCAAAAGAACCTCCATCATTGCCTTGAAGAGCCTCACTGAGCATCACAAATGCCATCCCGTCGCCCCGTAAATATGGATTAGAAGGTTCGATGGTGAAGCGGAAAGAAGTGCTGAAGGAGATCGACGTTCGGGTCGGATCGCTCTCACTCTTTTGCAGTGGGATTTGAGTTCTACAAAGTGCCATCCCGGATGTGCCATGGTAATATTCATAAGTCATGTTGGCCCTATCTATCGGAGTGAGCATCAGACCTGCGGGACTCGCACTTGCGTTTCCAAAACACCATAAATTTCCCCGGTCTGTGCACTGGAAAGACGTCCCGCTCGCTCCCAGTGTGAAGTTTGCTACCACATGCTTGACAAGAGCCCAGAAGATAATGATCGATAACACACTCTGAAGGCGAACTGGTCTGATCATTCTGACCTTGATCATCAAAAACTTTTCACGCTTCAGGGACGAGATGTGAATATGCCTATTCACAGTCAAGCTCTCCGATGAAAGTTTGAGCTCGCGCGTGTCTGACTCTACATTTCGTGATCTTCTGCTTGTCCGGTTGTCATACAAGACGTTAGATTTTTTTCACCATTAAATTCAATATATTATAATAAGTTTTGGACATGTGGGGTTTTCGAATTGTAGACATAGTAGCCTCTCAAAGTACATAATGATGAAGTTTAGAAGGTTATACGGGTCATGGTTTACCTGCCGTGTCCTACATTTCATCTGTGACTCTCTGGGTAGAGTCTGACTAACTGTGCAGGTAGCAATAAAATATTCAATAGAATCCAGCCTCGTTAGGAAACATGCGGTCACCGAGATTTCCTCTATGAAGTGTTGGGGAATTATTCACATCAACACGATCTCTAATAATTTATTAGTGATAATGATGATTTTTAAAATTTAATATTACAATTTATTCTATTTTTTCTCATTTTTAGATATTTTTTTCTATAAATTAATTAAAATTTAGATTCAGAATTGACTAAAAAAATTTCGATAAATCTTATTATTCATATTTTAATTTTAGAAACTTGCACGTGTGGTTCTGACGGGAGAATAACCCTATCGGTATTCTTTGATTAATTCTGTTGCGCGGGTAAGGTATATACTTATACCCAGAGCTCTCATCGTATTTCGACGATGCTGCGTTCACCCATTGAACAAGGTTAATAACAGGGAACAAGGCTTATTTATTGGCTTCTGGATCTGAGTCAAAACGCGTGCACGCATGAGTCTCTTGACCATCTGGCGAGGCACTTCCGAGTTGATCATCAAGACAACGATCTGATAAAGATTTCTGAGAGGTCTTCATCCAACGGGTTGACCTTTTGAATGACCCGCATCTCATGACCAAAGTACAAGCGTTGATTACATATAATGTCGAACATGTCGAGGGGTCGAGAATAGACGAGAGGTCTGTTTCAGTAGCTGGCCGTTCTCTGTAGCCCGTCTCCTTCCACCATGAGACCGTCCATTGGTCAGTTGTAGTGTCTTGCAAGGTTCCGAGTCATGTAGCAAAGTGATTCAAAACTTGAAGATTCTGGAGCCTTGAACTCGCACGCAAATTTCAGTATCAGTCAATGTCGAAGCTGAACTTCCAGAATCACATGCGCTCGATGTGGGATCAAAATCGTGAAATTGGAATAAACAGTTGAAGAATTGATAGTGAAATATTTGGAAAGAGTTGGACTGTGGTAACACACTTTTTGTTTTTTTTGCAGAATTTAAACAATTTTAGAAAACTAGAACCAAAGCAGTGTTTGTAGCTAGAGAAGGGTACGCTAAATAGAGTGGATTGATGAGATCGTCACGAGGGCACAAAGAATCACGTAGTCGGATGTACCAACGCCAACGTCTTCGGCGCCTTCGGCAAAAGCTCCTTTTTGAGGTGTCTCTACTCACGCGCCTCTAGCGTATAAGGAAGCTACGCTTCCGGCGCAGACACCTCAGGAGGAGGTTTTGCTAAAGACGTCAGGAGAAGGGCCCGGACCTCTAAAGGCATCCGACCATGAGTGCGCCTTCGGCGAAGCGCCGCTAGCGCGGAAAGGGAAAACCTTCATAACAATCGGGATACACGGTAGATCCAGTTGGTTGAAGTTCCATTAGAAAGAGCTCGGGACGCTCGTTCTAACGAGTCCAAGAGCGCCGGAGATGGATCAGGAATGGAGAAGTTATGAGCGTCGGAAAACTCGTAGCCGGACATGCGCCGTTCGCGCTAGGGTTCACAGCCGGAAAGGATTCCCGTACGCCCTCGGCGATGCGCCTTCGGCGGAATCACGCGCTCATAGGGGGAAACCAACTCAGAGTCGGAAGCGCCCTTGGCGGCTGTTCATGGAAGGAAAGCGCCGGTCGGATGTACGCCTCCGACGTGGCGCTGACAGCCGGATGCGCTGGCATGAGTTGCGCTGACGGATATGCGCCGGCAGCAACGGACGAGGCATAAAGGACAAAATAGGCGGTACGACTGCGCGCCGGCGTAATTCGCTCCGGCTGGATGTGCGCCTCCAGCAAGGCGCCGACGGATAATGAACGCACCAGCGGCGACACGCCTCCGGAGAAGGGCGGGTTAGGAAAAGACAACAGGGCCGACGTATACCCTGCAGCGGACTCGAGTCCGGAAGGTGGCGGCGGCGGGAGAATTCAACGTTTAAGCATGCGAATGCGCGCAAAGCGGAGACGTGAATTCGCGCATGCAAAGGGCGAACCGTTAAGCCGTATAGCCGGCTGCGTACGTTGCAACCAGTAAGAACGTTGGACGTTCTTGAAATCGGAGAAGAAAAGACTGCGCTCCAGTCTCATTCTCTCATTCTTGACTTTGCGACTTCCAGTTCCAAGATTACGCGCAAGGGCGGAGCGACCTGCAGTGAGAGTAGAGAGTGCGGAGACGAGTTGCGCAAGGATCTTGGCGGACCTTGAAAGAATTGTGAATAGCGATCTTGAACGAGCGCAGAGAGAGTGAGCAATCAGTGCTTGAGTGGCCGACGCGCAGTGGCGATTGTGAGAGAGCGAGCGAAAGGGAGAACGTTTGTGTGTGTGCAGGCAACGCAATGTCGAAGGTACCCCAGCTGCGAGTGTCTCCACTCCGGGTGCCGCAGATCGGTCTACGCGCATTTCAAGATGTGCTGTTGAGATTGAAGCTCGATTTTCTCCTATGGGGGTGGAATTGGACATGTCCGGAGATGGTGCGCGAGTATCTGCAGGAGAGACACAAGCCTTCTCGCGGATTTCGCCCACACCCAGAGAGATGGGACATTTGCAATTGGGCGCAGGTGTTGGGCAGGTGTGCCGGCGAGGAAGGGGATCTCCTCTTCGAGGCCGACAGCGTGAAGGTGTCCCAGGAGGAAGAAGTCTCTTACAATGAGCTCTTCAAGGTGGCTAGACATCCCAAGAACGGTTTCCGGACACGGGATTACAAGGATCGATTGCGGAGAAATGTCGCGACGGCATTGCTGCAGATATTGCAGCCGACCAAGACCGCTTACATGCATGGTTGGCAGGTAGAGTTCGTGGAGCTAGTGCTGTCAGGAGCTCCGGTGCATTGGGCACGGCTCCTGTGGAAGGTGACGCGCCAACATGCGCAAGAAGAGAGGGGAGGAACCCTCAATCATCTATCGCCTTACTTAATCGTGTTTTACCGGGCGATGGGATGTTTGACAAATGCTGAGAAAACTCGATTTCCGCAGCTGACCCGGACTTATCCAGGAAGATATTCGAGGGAGGCCGAAGTAGACACAGATCCGGACGAGGAACCTGCCAGTACGCCTCCGGCTCCGGCTCCAGCAAGAGCAGCAGAAGAACGTCGAAGTGAGCACATTCCGCGAAAGCGGAAGTGGGATGAGAGACCTGAGGACAGGCAGCCGGAAGTGCCAGCTGCGCCGACTCGTGGTCGGCCCACCCCCGAGCCTCACAGTCGACCAAAACAGAGGGCACGCAAAATGCCAACTGTTACTGAGGAGACCAGGCGAACTCCGACCCGGCGGAATCTCACACAGGAAGAGATAATCGCTCAGATTCTAGGGAAGACGGCAGATACCTCTGCACAGAAGGCACCACGGCCTTCGGGAGGAGATGGACGGATTGACAGTCGGCCGACTGCGGATCGGATGACTGAAGGCCGACAAGCGGAAGGAAGGCCAACTGGACGGCGCGTTGAACCGGACAGCAGGCCGGAAGCAGAAGAGAGTTTGGCTGACGAGCCAACAACCCTCAGAGGGTCGTCTTCAGCGGAAGGCACTTCTGGGAGAACGCCACCAGCAAGCAGACCAAGTGGAGTCAAGACGCGCAGGGTGTATCCGACTCCCAGTCGGACAACTGCTGGTCGGCCGACTGCGAGTCGGACAACAGAGAGTCAGCCGGATTCGCCGACTGCGAGACGGATGGGGCCAACGACCAGTGTGCGGACGCCTTCGGCGGACGCACCTTCAGCAAGGACACCTTCCGCGCAGATTGCGCCGGAAGGACAGGCAGCAGAAGCGGGCGGATCAAGAGTGACAAAAGTCACTGCGGCGTCGACCCCTTCACAAACCGAAGATCGAGCCGGAACAGGGGCTCAAGCAGTGGGATCTCCCACTGCCCTGGATATTTTAGCAGGCAGTGGAGCAGCAGTCGCAGCGGAAGCTGCTGCGCGCCACAGTTCCAGGGAGTCGCCAAGGGATTCGGTGGCGACTGAAATCCTCGAGACTGAGGATGATACGAGCTCGGAAGAGCAAGAAGCGGATTCGGTGCAGAAAACGCCAACAGGGGTGCTGTGCGAACAGATAGTTCCACTCCTGCGATATCTGGATCGCAAGACATCCAAATACGCAAGTGCCTTAAAACCGCAGTCTTATGTGGAGACAATCAGGCGAAGGACGAGGAGCAAGGTGGCAAGGTGGGCCTCTAGGTGCCAAGTATATGTGGATAGGAACACCACCCTCCGACAACACCTGGCGGTCACACAGAAGCTATACCAAGCCTTGCAGCAGCAGAGGGAGGATGCGGCGACGAAGAGTCAGGCGGATGCCGAACTAATACGGGCAAAGATCGAGTCGGAATTGCAGGAGGAGCGGAGACAGAACAAAGTCCTAGCAGCCGAGCTTGCGCGCCAGACGCGCGCCTTAGAAGAAAGTCAAAGAGCCCGCAAGGAGGATGAGGAGTTGTTGTGCAACTTGCAATCCGAGTGCTCGGATTTGAGGGCACAACGTGCGGGATTAGAAATGCAGCTGGCCGAGGTGGAGAGCAGCTGCAGGGCGCGAGGAGAGTTGGCGGCACAGGTGACTCGTTGTCTAAAAGGATACACCCATTGGGAGGTGGCAGCTCAAGAGAGGATCACACTCAGGGAGTTCGAGCTTCGGGCGGCGGCATTGACGGAAGGTGACAGTCGGAGTCGGCGGCGAGTGGCGAGAAAATTAGAAACCTTCTTGTCGGGTGCGCGCGACACTATGGCGCACTTGCAGTCGG